GATTCTTCCACATATTGTAAGAGAAACTCCCATTTCTGGAATTCTTTCTTACCTTCTATACAGATGCCAACAAATCAGGTAGGGCAGGTTATAAAGCAAATGAGGTAAGTAAAGTAGTTCAAAGTCCATATGCATCTGTACAGAAGGCAGAATTACATGCAATTCTCATGGCACTCATAGATTTTTCAGAGCCTCTTAATATAGTTACTGATTCTCAATATGGAGAAAGAGTCATGTTACACATTGAGACTGCAGAATTCATTCCTGATAATACAGAATTAACTTCACTGTTTATACAATTACACAAAACAATCAGAAACAGAAGTAATTCTATATACATTACACATATCAGATCCCATATGGGTCTGCCAGGCCCACTAGCACAAGGCAATGATGAGATTGATCATTTATTAATTGGAAGTGTACTAGAAGCCTCAGAATTTCAGAAGAAACATCATGTAAATAACAAAAGTTTGAAAAAGGACGTCTCCATTACTTGGCAACAAGCCAAGGAGATAGTGAGAAACTGTCCTACTTGTTCTTTTTATAACCTAACTCCATTGCCAGCAGGCTGTAACCTAAGGGCATTGGAGAAATGAGGTTTGACAGATGGATGTCTTTCACTTTGCAGAATTTGGAAATTTGGAATATGTGCATCATACTATAGACACATTCTCAGGGTTCCAATGGGCTATTGCTCTTAACTCTGAAAAAGCTGATTCTGTTATTACACATCTGCTAGAGTGATGGCAGTTATGGGTATACCTGCACAAATAAAAACTGACAATGCTCCGGCATATGTCTCCACAAAATTGGAATAGTTTTTCAAATATTATAACATAAAGCATGTCACTGGTATATCACACAATCCTACGGGTCTAGCAGTGGTTGAGAGATCTAATAGGACACTAAAGGAGATGCGTGGAAGACTAAACCCCCCAAACATAGGTTGCATAATGCTTTATTAACACTAAACTTTCTTAATGCCAATGAGAAAGGACAAACAGCTGCAGAATGACACTGGACAACGGAAAAAACTGCTGAATTGAATCAGCCAGTATAATTCAAAGATGTACTAACCTCTATATGGATACCAGGACATGTGTTAAGATGGGGTAGGGGTTTTGCATTGGTTTCCACAGGAGAAGAAAAACTTTGGATACCATCAAAGTTGATCAAGATTCGAGTTGAAAAGGAAAAACCTCTCGATGAGGAGAAATGACAGGTATTCTACTAAGGTATATCTCATAAACTAAATAGAAACCCCCCAAAGGAAAGGGAAGTGTTTTGCTTTTATCTTCACAGGAAAACTCATCTCCATAAGACAAAGGATACTACATGGGTAGATACTTAAGAAGAGAAAGTAGCTATAACCATCAAACAAAACGAACGTGCCATATAGTAAACTTTACAGTTTACAGCTATCTCTTGGAGAACTCTATTTCTCTTTATTTCCTAGTCCCTATGCAATTAAACCAATGCTGGATTTAGACGTGGATTTGGTTTTCCTCCTCTAAAATCCAAGCACGTTGTTTAACTAAACTTTAGAGTTTATGTATTTTATCAAGAAGCCAATTGATGTAATACAGAATAAGAGAAGAATTTGGGGACTGTCTTTGTCTTTTCTTGGCTCTTTCTTTCAAGGTGTACATCCTGTCATACTCGTTATTCTCCCATGGTTGCCTTTTCCAGTATGCATACTTACACAAGCAAACATTTTTCTGCTAATATTTGTGTTGGAGTCTCACACAGCTAATGAAGACCTGCCTGACAGCAATCCATAGATGCCCTAGAAAGAAAATGGGCCACACCTCCTTGACTGCACTGGATCCAACTTGCTCCATTTCAACTGACATTCTTGCCAGAGCTTTGGGTACTGACTTCAATCAAGTTGAAGATTTCAAGAGACATCTTCAATGAAGTGAATCCCATCTAATGTGGACTGGATACAATCCATTCATGACTTTCACTATACTAACATTTTCTTCCTACAGGACACCAGAAGGCTATTGCTGTCCCATTTCAGCAGTAAGGAACTTGGAAGATGCTATGACCCTTTCCCCCCATTGTTGTCACTTAGGATAGTGTATATACCTAGTTAGGGATAGCTTCCTATTGTTTATGGTTGGGATTGGAAGGAGGTGTTCAGGCTTGTTCACCTCTTTCAGATGACTTTAGGGTTTAGTTAAAATAGACATAGTTAGGATGTGACATAAGCAGATTGCTGTATGTTCTTATACTTCACCCTTATGATTGTTAATTTTGGATACTTTACACTGTTAAGTTTTAATTCTCTTTTAAGCTAAAAGGGGAATTGTAGGGGATGCTGTAGCCACGCCTGTGAGTGTGTGGTCAGAGTGACGTAGGGAAAGTTTAACAGTGAGGGATGTTCACGTGATGGCCTTGCTTTCACTTTCATCTTCTACTTGCTGTACTTACTGCTGCCCTGCTGTCTGGCTAGGTCACTCTGTAAGTAAGGCTTTTCTCTATTGAACTCACTTGTATTTTTACTTGGCTCCATATTGGTAATTTCCCATATTACGTTTCAACATGAGACATGAAGATGCAGAGTTTGGAATTTGCCCAGCTGATTTTTAGTCTTGCTTTGATCAATTATTTCCTCACCGTGCTTCCTTCCCTATGTTTTAGAATGGTAATATATATAATATTGTGCCATTTTATACTTTGGAAGTATGTGATCTGTGTTTTGATTTTAGTTTTTATAGAGGATTACAGTTCAGAGATTGCATGAATCTCAAAGAGTCTTTGAACTTTGGACTTTTAAACATTGTTGAACTGTAGGCTATGGGGACTTTTGAATTGGACTAAATGCATTTTGCATTATGATATGACTAAAAGCCTTTGGGGACCTGGGAGTGGAATGTGGCAGTTTGAATATTATTGGTTTCCATAATCTCATAGGGAGTGGCACTTTTAGAAGGTGTGACTTTGTTGGAGTGGGTATGGCCTTGTTGGAGGAAGTGTGTCACTGTGGAGGCAGGCTTTGAAATTTCCTATGCTCAGGATATTGCCCTATTTCTCCAGTACCACATCTGCCTGCCTGTAACCGTATTCCTGGACATCATGATACTGGACTGAATCTCTGAAACTATAAGTGAGCCACCAGAATCAAATGTTTCCTTTGTAAGAGTTGCCTTGTTCATGGTGTCTCTTCACAGCAATAGAAATCCCAACTAAGGCAGTGGCTTAAGCCATACTTGTTAGGATGGCTATGATCAAAAGGACAAAAAAAATTAGCAAGTATTCATGTGGATATGGGCAAAAATTAACAAATATTCATGTTGATATGGAGAAAAGAGAAACTTTGGTAGAAGCGCAAACAACATGGAGGGAAACAATGTGGAGGTCCTTCAACATGAAAATAAAACTATCAGATTGTCTGCCTCATACCAAGGTGTGTGTGTATGTATGATATGTATACAAAGACTGTATTTGGGTATATGCACAAAGGGCATAAGATGGGTATGCTTAAGAGATACCAAGATTTAGAGTTAGCAAGTGAAAAGTTGAGGAACATTGAGAGGATTAATTCCTATTAATTCCTCATCCCAAATTTCTGTTCTGTGGTAGAAGTAGGACTTGTCCCCTCCCCATTTTTTGAGGCGTGTTCTCATCTGTCCCAGACTCACTATGTAGTTCAGGATGGCCTTGAACTCTTGATGCAAGAGCCTCCATGTCCTGAGTTCTGAGTGATTGGGTTCTAGTGATAGTACCAAGGACCTCATAGTAGGGAAGTTTGGTTACTTAGTACAAGGCAAAAGCTGGAATCATCAGCTACTGGACAGGAGATAGGGTAGTCATACCCAAGGTGGTTAAGAATCTTTGCAACATATTGAAAGAATTACATTTCTTTTTACCCTAAGAGTTGACTACTTAAAGGAAATGACATAATGAAGAAGGGAATGAATAGGATAAATGTCAGGGAATATATAGATGAAGGGTCTAAGTTATGAAATAGCCATGGAGAAGAAAACCCTTGTTTTATAGGAAAATAATTGAGTGATATAAAAATAAATGGTGGTCCCCAGGCTATAGAACCAGCAAATTGCTTGGGGACAGAATCCCAGTTTTCTGACTGCTAAGGAAGATTCTTTTCAACAGTCCACTCAGCCACTGTTGCTGAATCATTACCTGCTGGTTATTTATCCCACATCCAAGGGCAGTTACTGTAGTTAATGAATAAATACAGCCTGGCAAGACCCATTGTAAACACATAGCTTCACTGACTACTAGACATCTTGACCTCTGAGTGTCCCCTATAGCTCCCTCCCCCACAGCTGCATTTCAGGCAGACCTGACTTTTATGGCTACAAATGCTTCCCAGAATGTACAGTTTTCCTTGATGCTGGATAGAGACTCAGGTGGGGAGAAGTAAGGTCACCCTTGGAGCATTCTTGCTGAATAGGGCTTTGGCATGTCTAAAAATTAAAATGCTTGTGGTAGGTAAATGAGGTGCAGATGGGAAACGAAGCCAGTGCGTGAGTGTCTGATACATAGGAGCTGCTGTCAATGGGACAGATCTTAGGAGGTGACATTGGGAGAGCTTGCATTTAGTCATCATGCAAGTAGGTGAAATGAGTAATTGTATTTTTGACTTTTGAATTTTCTGCACATTCCCAGTGTTCTCATAGCCATATTTCCACACATGCATATATTAGGGGTTTTCTTAGATTTAGAAATCTAGGTTTTTTTTTAAGGGACAAGCAATATTCCACGTATCATTTATACTTAAGATTTTAGATAGATTGTTTTTGATGATCATATAAATTTTTGTGACATTGTATGAAATATACATTTTTTGACTTTAGATAAATTATAATAGTCTATTCCTAACACTTGTATTATCTTGTGCAAACACTGAAAAGTTTTATTAATGTTTAACTATAAAAGGCTCAAGGAAAGAATCAGTCTCAAGGTCCAGGCTGAGGTTTCCTGATGATTAGAGATCAGGCTTCAAGAAAAAAAAAAAAAAGCCCAAGACTGCAATCGGAGATAGCCGAAAGAGGAAGCCGAACCTCCATCTAGAGAATGTGGAACGGATATAAGATTTTAATCTTCTCCTATCTGACGGCAGAACTCTGTGCTGAGACCCATTCTTTATCGTCAAGAGAAGTGGACCCAGGGCCATATTTCACCAGAAATCACACTATTTTCGAAGGTACTCGGCACAAAAGGGCCATTTTCCATGGGCAATACTGTAGACACTTTGGCTGTTGTCAAGACAGAGACGATGCCTGTGTCACTCATTTCTATGAAGCCAATGCAATGTGTTACTGTGACAGCTTCTGTGAAAGGGAAAACCCTGATTGCTGTCCTGATTACAAGTCATTTTGCCAGGAAGAGAAAGAATGGCCTCTCAAACAGCCTTTAGACCCAGAAGGTAGGCTTTGGCAATGTGTTTGAATATTGCCCTAGTTGTCAGATCTGACAGCTTTATCTTCTCCTCTCCTCTCCTCTCCTCTCCTCCATTCTGCTTTCTTCAGGGGAATGAAAATGATAATTTCCACATATTTTGTTGGATTTTTAAGTTTCTTTGGTTCAAATGCAGTGCTGTACCATACTGGCACCATTGGGAAAGTTCTGGTCTGAGTGTATTAAGTATGGTTCTGCATTCTGTTTTGAGCATTCTTACAACATAGGTGTTGTTTCAAACTTTCAATAATGCACTTATCACAGCTTTCAAGCGTTGGAATATAGTTTTCTTAGAGAATTCTGGTGAAATTTAAAAATCCAATCATCTAGAACCATTGAACATCCTCCCCATGTAACACTTTGCTTACTGTTTTGTCAGGCTCATAAACCTGCAGCACGGTTTATATACATGGTATTAGCATTGACATTAAAACAAAATAAAACTAGGCACTATCCCTGCCTAAGGATAATAAATTCTTTAAGTATATTTTTGTCTTATTTCATCACTTTGGAAATTTTGAAACCACTGAAAAGAGGGAGTAAATGTGATTCAGTTGGTAGAATACTTGCTTAGCATGTATGGAGCATTAGGTTTGATTCCCAGCACCATACAAGCTGGAAAATAGTAGTATACAGTTGTTATCCCAGCACTCTAGAAATAAGAGGAAGGATGATGACATGGGCAAGGTTCCCCTTGGCTATAGTGAGATTGAGGACAGCCTGGGCTGCATGGGAGCCTGTCTAAAAACAGATCATTAAAGAGAAAGGAGGGTCACAGAGAATAGCCTTGTAAGAGTCTAAGATCCAGACAGTATAGAAATGATGATGTGTTGAGAAGATAAGTAGAATGGTGATATTTGCTATACAGATGCAATTATATGAGAACAGATACTTATTTTGGGAAGTTGCTACAACAAAGCCTCCTGGACAAGTATACCCTATATACTTCCTTAGATGAAAATCTCATAGAACCAAATCTCTTCATCAGGAAATTTTGGTTAATTGGAGCTCAGTCACACAATTATAAATGGGTCTAGGAACTTGTAGTTAGAAGGCACTTAAAAATCCTACTTCAAAATGGAGATGGTATTGACAGCTCTCATTATCAATAAACTCATCCTGTTTATAAATTTTAAAAATGTTTCCTTGAATGTATACTTATTATTTAGAATTGTCCACAGAATTCCTATTTAGTCCAGGCTTTAATTTTACCATCAGACATTAGTAAATATTTACCTAATTTTACAAAGTAGCAGATACTCTACTATGTTTGAGAGGTTTAGTCTTCTTTCAACAATTCTTTAAGTATCCCTGTTGTGGCAGGCAATGTGAAAAGTCTTATTATAAACATTAGTCAAGTTGGAGGAGTAGGAAAAAAATTAGGACATTTACTGAGAAGCTGTGTGGTGATTTAAAGAAAACGGCCCCCAAAGAGAGTGACACTATTAGAAGGTGTGACCTTGTTGGGGGAAGTGTGTCACCGTGGTGATGGGCTTTGAGATCTCTTTTTGTCAAGGTTCCCTCAGTGTACAATTTGACTTCCTGTTGCATCTGAGTCAAGAAATAGGACTCTCCACTCCAGCACCACATCTGCCTGCATGCCACCATGTTCGCCATCCTGATGATAATGAACTGAACTTCTGTAACCGTAAGAGAGCACCTCAAGAAAATATTTTTATTTATAAAAGTTGCTGTGGCCATGGTGTCTCTTCACAGCAATAAAAAATCCTAAGATAAGATCTAAATAGTAGTATATGTTTTTTGAAGAAGAGTGTTTCTACAGACTGAGAAAATAGCTTCAATAATTAAGGCACTTGCCTTGCAAGCACAAGGACCCACGCTTGACATCCAGAAGTCACATAGAAAAGCAGGAATGGTGGCACTTGTTTATGATTTATTGACTGCAAAGGCAGGGGCAGGCAGATGTTGGGGCTTCAGTGGCCAGCTGGTCTGCTGTACTTGTTCTATAACAATGACAGACCCTGTCTCAAAAATAAGGTGGTGGCTCCTGAGGATGACATTGAGGTTAACCTCTGATCTACACACACCATACACCCCTCCACACACTCAAAAATATGCACGTGCACATGTAGTCACACACAAATTGGGTGCTGTGAGACTATTAATATGTAGTAAGTTGTATGCCATCTGTCTCACTGGAGGACCAGTAAGAGAAAACATTCAAGCTGCTACCTGATAAAGAAGGAGCTGAATTAGAGGACAGTTCTCACAAGAGTATTACATAGTACAAGACTATTTATCAACTGGAAGGAAGCCATTGATTCTAGTGAGTCCTGATGAGGGAAGTATAAGCGACAGGAGATCAGTTTGAGAAGTGAGTATAAGTTATTGTATGTCAGACAATTTAGGATATGTTGGGTATTTGGGATCAAATTTTTTTTTTACTAGAAGTTATCAAAAGATGCTACTTCAGAGTAGGTATGAAGTGTCTTAGACATGTAACTGAGGTAATCAAAGAGCTTCCCATTCTCAGAGGACTTTCAAGCTCAGTCGGTGCCATCTTGAAGCTCTCTTGATAATTTATAAGTATCAGGCCCCAATCTTAATTTTCAACTTTTCTCCTCAATTTATGTATACTTCACATTTGAAGTAATATGGGAGGGTGATGAAACAAGACAGCATGGACATGTCCTGCAATAATTAGGCTTAGGTGGTGTAAAAACAGGAACTTTGAAAGACATAGTCTTACCCTAGAGGACCTTGGAAAAGCTAATGATACTTGGGGGCAGTAGTTGTGACAGGAATGTATTCAATCAGCTAGAACCCAGGACATTAGAACTGAGCCATAAGAAATGAGTGGATCATCTAGAGGATGAGTGAGCTGGGCTGCATTTGAGTATTTTCAGGGGCACTGTAGTATGTGCTTGATGAGTTTGTAAGAAATTGCATGGTGCAAAATCGGTAATTAGGCAAGAGGGAAAGAAAGGTTGGGTAGGGAAACTGAGTATTACACTAAGGACATAAGTGTCCAAGATCTCATATTGTGTATTGCCTGTCTATACATGACTGTCTAGCCCCATAGACAACTTTTACAAAGTTAAATGTGTTATTTCTCTTCAGTATCAACTCTGGACAGAGAGAATTGAGTTAATTAAAGTCCACTTAGGATACAATATATCTTTATGTTCCATCATAAACCATGCGGGCTGACTTTATGTATGTGAATTATTAATTTTTAAACTACCTTCTGGGAAAGACAATTTTCTTTCTGCTGATTTCAGACAACATATGTTTAAGGGTCTGTGAATGTCCCTTTCATGTTATGTCCTTTTCTTTTCTCTCCATGATGATGTGGTAGCAATGTCTGTGGTAGGAAGTCTCATGCAACATTTCTCTTTAAAAATCATTCTTTGTTTCTAGACAGGCTTATTATATCCAATTTTCCTGTGTTACAAAGAGGCATGACTAATATTTCATTCGTTTTTTGTTTTTAGAATCTATATGTGTAAAGGTTTATCTAAGGATATGCAATCAGAAGATTTTTGTCATAACCCATAGCAACAAAATTTATAGAAAAACTTGGTTATTATGTATGTTTATTAAAAATTTAAAGAGTAGTTGAACTTTTACCTGTCTTTATTGAAGATCATCCCATTCTATTCTATCTTATAAAATAATAATACTTTAAAACTGCCTTAGTCTCAACACACTAAACTCATTTTTTATTTAAATTACTCCCTTCTAGCATCATAAATATGTATCGTGCACTTTTATCATAATTTTTCCCTCCTACTAAATATTGCTTATAATATTATTATAATGTAAGATTCTCAGTCCAAATGCGATATTTTTGTATGTGTATGACTTCACAGCTGACCATGTGGCACTGGATAACCAGTTGGTTTGTTCTTCCTTGGGGAAGACCACTTCTTCCGCTCCAAGCTTTCCTTTCTTGCCTATGACTTTTTTGTATGTAATTTTAAAGAATTAACACATTTTAAGAAGCATGTTTCTTTTCCTGCATGAGGTAGTTATTAATCTGTATTTGTAAAATAGCAAAATGTCATTTTCCCATTTTCAATAGGTAACTCTTACATCTTTTTTCAAGGTAACAGTTTGGTAAAAGCTACGGATGGAATTTTAAGCCTTTAGTGTATCTCTCCTTACAGTAAGCAATGGTGTGCTAATACAGGAGTATTATAAAGACCCACATCTTAAGAAACTTATGATCTATGTAAGAATATTTCACCATGTAAAACAACTAGAATCATTGTGAAAGAGTAACAATCTGGTGAATATATGGACAACAGTATAACTATAACACCATCCAGAAAGAAGATTATCCTGCAGTGCTTAATACTTTTTGTGAAAACCATACTATAAATATTTTTATTTATTTAGACATTTCATTACATTCGTGTGTGTGTGTGTGTGTGTGTGTGTGTGTGTGTGTGTGTGTTTGGCTGTGCCTATGCCGCTGTGCATGTATAGAAGTCAGAAGACAATTTTCAGGAGTTGGTTTTCTCTTTCCACTGTGTGGCTTTTGGAGATTTAACTTAGGTCATAGGGCTTAATAATAATTACCTTCATCTGCAGAATCATCTCACCAGTCCCAAAGTATATATCTTTAATGCATAAGTATATTTTGCCTGGATTCTTGAGCCTAAGTTCAATCTAGCTTGCCACTCTTCCATCTTCTTCATTTGACTATGTGCTTGTAGTTCAGATCAACTTCTTATGCTACATCAGTCAAATATACTTTCCACTATATAAAAGGAGAACGAGGGCAGGGCCTTCACATCTTAAGAAGAGATTCTGGAGTTCAAAATAGTACCTCTGCTCTTGTTTATGTCACACGACCACACTTTCAAAAGAGGCTAAATGCCAAAACTTAAGTTTGGTTTGGTTTTGCCGTGTGGAAATATGCCCCCCTAAAACATAAGGTTCTCTTGTATGACACAAATAGTAAGGAATAATATTGGCAACAAGAATCATATAAAAGCATGCCTATCTAGATGCTTGCATTTTTATTTAAGTCATAATTTCAATGAAATATAATTATCTCCTATTTTGAGATTGGGCCTTGCTTTGCTTCCCAAGCTAGGCTTTCATTCTTAGACTCAATTAATTCTCTTGCCTCAGCTTCCTAAGTACCGGGGATGCAAGTGTGCCTAAGCTCATTTTGCATATCAGTATTATAAAATAAGTCATAATTCACTGTCCTTTTTCATTGACAAAGGAGAAAGGTTTTTGTCTTGTAACCCAAACTGGCCTGTATCTCACTGTGTAGTCCATACAGGCCTTAAACTCACAGCAGGCTTCCCTGCTCCTTACCTCCCTCCTACTTACTAGGATTTCAGGTGTGAGCTTGTAATGCCTGACTCAGCTAAAGTGCTGTTGATACACTAGAACATACTCAGACTTTTCTTATTTAAAACACACAGTCCATTCTGAAAAGTAATTGCTACCTCCTCAACATTCATTTTTGCATGAGAGGGGGGATATTTCAAAGATTTCAGCTCAGGGTTACAATTTATGTGCCTGCGATAGCTTTTATTCCATTCATTATGGATAGGAGCAATTACTCATTTTAGTTAGTAGCAAAAAAATTCACATTAGACTATAATTGCTCTTGAGAAAGGTAATTTTTCCTTTTGTCTTCTTTGGGAAATAATTTGTTGGAAAGGGTACTATGTGAAATTAATTAAAACAAGAAAATAGTATATTATTTATATTAATTTTCATATACAAAGCAACTTTCTTCTATATTTATACATTTCTCTATGTTATGTTTCCTACATGTTACATCAGCAATTTATTAGTTTCATACGATCTAGTTTCATGGTCACTTCTATTTCTTTCCCAAGAACTGTTTAAACCAAGAATTTAAAATTTGACATTATCTTAAGGATTAAAGATAAATATGTCAATTTTATATAAGGTGAAAGAAGAACATACATTAATTACATCCATGCCTTCCTTATGTACAGCATCACATCAGATGGTAATATCTAGTAACTTGAGAATTTCAAATTTCAAATACAGAAAACCAGTGATAGACTTAAATAAT